ATCTATCTATCTATCTATCTATCTATCTATCTATCTATCTATCTATCTATCTATCTATCTATATACCTATCTATCTATGGCTCTACAGTCGTTTTGTTGGACCTTGGCCGCTATTTCTCTTTCTTAATCCTATAGACAGTCGGTAGGACCCCTTGGGTGGGGGATCAGTCCGTCGTAAAGCCGCTACCTACACGCAGAAGAACACAAAAACAGAATAAACACACACAGACAACCATGTCTTGAGTGGGATTCCAACCCACGATCTCAGCGTTCGAGCGAACGAAGACAGTCACCGTGCGGTCACTGTGATTGGCATGTTCAGCCACTAGCCCGATAAATTCATTCAAACATGTTCATTAGCCTATGAAACGTGACATCACTGTCATCTATACCAGCCCCGAAGGTACAGCTCGTTATTGTCAGTTTGTCATGCAGTTTTTTTTTTTATTGCTAGTGGGATGGGACTAAGTCCCTTGTACTGCGGCCACTTCTGGCCTATTGTACCAGCCCCAGATGATAGGTGAGGGTGATTGTGGAGCAATTGGTGGAATGAAGATTGGTAGGGGAAACCGAAATACTCGGAGAAAACCTGACCCAGCACCACTTTGTCCACCACAAATCCCTATTGACCAGAACCTGAATCGAACCCGGGCCGCCGCGATGGGAAGCCAGCGACTAGCGGCTTGAGCTATGGCGCGGCCCTTTGTCATGTAGTTAGTAGCAGGAGGAATAGCACACAGGTATTACTGTAAAATATCTGTTACTATAGTCTGATTTTAACAAGTTGTCGCGATGATCTGACAAATTTAATGAAGTTCCCCAATTATAAAAATTCAGAGAACGATTGACAAGCATGACGAAGCTAATTGCTACGCTTCCTTGCTGCATGGCAGGAAGATTCTGAGATCAAACGGTTCGTAAATTCGATCTTCTAGTTTCCGCGTTTCTCAATGCAATATCATGGAGCCAAGAAGCAGCTAATGTCATTCTGAGGATTACGATAATGGTGAAATTCACTGCTATCGTGATCCAGTTTAAAGAACTACTTCCTTGGAGCAAAGCTCATCTTGAGGGGCTGGCTGTCGCCCAGATGGCCAGAAATGTCATGACTTTTATGAAACCCAATGATTCACTGCTGGGTTAATTGGAATATATTCCCCCAACCTTTTCTGAACCAGTTGTATCCAGTCAAAAACTTTACACATTCTTTTGTAGAAGATAAATTTAATGGAATACTGCCCTTCCATCTTTGTCTAGGCCTCTCAAATATTCTATTCTCTTTAGGTTTTCCAAGAAAAGTGTTCAAAGTGTTTTCATGTTTTTATTAACTGCTACTTACCCCCTCTATCTCGCGCTCTCTCTCTCTCAACTTTATCGCCTTAATAACATTATTTTGAGAGTTGATATACAATAAGTTCCTCAACGTGAAGTTTTCTTCAGTCTCCTCTTAATTCTATTCACTTATATCCTCATATTCGATACAAAACTATAATTTTGCCTGTGGTTCTGTATGGGTGTGAAACTTGGTCTCTGACAGTAAGGGAGGAACACAGACTGAGGGTGTTTGAGAACAAGGTGTTGAGGAGAATATTTGGACCGAAGAGAGATGAAGTGACAGGAGGTTGGAGAAACCTGCATAATGAAGAGCTTCGTAACTTGTACTCTTCTCCAAGTATATTTAGAATGATCAAGTCAAGGAGGTTGAGGTGGGCAGGGCATGTAGCACGAATGAGGGAGAATAGAAATGCATATGTGACATTGGTGGGGAAGCCAGAAGGAAAGAGAGCACTGGGAAGACCAATATACACGTAATATTAAGATGGATCTTAGAGAGATAGAATGGGATGGTATGGAATGGATTGATCTGGCTCAGGATAGGGACGAGTAGAAGGTTGTTGCGAAACCGATAATGAACCCTCGGGTTCCATAAGATGCTGGGAAGTTCTTGAGTAGCTGCACAATTGGCAGCTTCTCCAGGAGGGCTCAGCCTCATGAGTGAATGGGTGAGTATATCCACATATTCGTGTACCCGAGAAAACTTCGATCCACGTTATGTACCGCCATCACAAACACACGAAGCAACGCCACTGCAGTTTCTTAATCATATGGCTGAACTTTTGTTCGTCGCCTTCATTATCCTCGAAGGATCTCTGGCAGAATTTTTTGAAACACGGCCTGATCATTGCCTTCAGATTTTGACCTACATGCCATTTCGTTCGAGGCTATATGAAATGTTAAATATACCAATATGCATTTATGAAGGCGTGATCTTGGAGGCCATATTCAGGCCCTCCAGTCAGGAGGTTTTCTCATGCACTCCACTGATCTGAAAGAAAGTTGTCGCATTGTCGTGACGTAAAGGTGCTTTACGTTCATTTGTTTCAGAGTCCATAGAAGCTGCTTCAGAAGGAAGGTTTGGCGATGACAGAGAATTGAAGGTAAACAACAACATTTCATAATCTTTATATTACTTTTTAACTCAGGAAAACGTTTGAAAGTAGAACGATTAATGTTATTCATGATTTGTACGGGGCACTAAATAGTGTGAGAACAGTTAAACACAGGATATTATGATTGGCTGCATATATAGCTGGAATGAAAGAGATAAAAATGAATTTAGTGTTTTGAGGGCAGATTTCTCAGAAATCAACTACCTCGGAGACTGAGGAGAGGAAAGAGGAAGGACAAGATTAAGACAGATCTTAGCGAAAGACTGCAGATTGTGAAAATGGAAAGTGTATAGAAGTGAATAATATTTGTGTTTTGTTACTAGCAAGGTTAAAATCTCCTGTACTGATAGAAGATTAATGGCTTTATATATGTAATACTTCGAGAATCTTATATGGAGTGAATTCTCCACACCAACCACTTCGCCGGAATTACGACAGTTCTGTTTGGTAAAAGCAAGCACCATATTTGCCCTGCGATACCAGAAGACACTTTATCGGGGACTTCTGGGCGTTACAAAGCGGTCCGTGCCTGCCAATATTTTAATTTAATTTCTTAGGTTGGGCTGTGACTGAGTCCACTTGGTACGTCATCCACTAATTGGCCTATTATATAAGTCCCGGATGAGAGATGATGAGTGTGGAGCAGTCGGTGGAATGAGAATTGGTAGGAGAAACCGAAGTACTCAGAGAAAATTTACCGAAGCCTCACATAGTAAACCATAAATCCCATATGATCTGAACTGGGATCGATGTCAGCCCTTTCGGTGGGAATTCGGCAAAAAACCTTCTGAACTGTGGCATGGACACTGTCTGCTAGTATTACCGGCCATATTTTATGGATTAATGTGCCTAAAGTAGTCAGTAGGAACGTATTATATATATATATATAACTGCACGTGAGGGGAGACAGAAGTGACAATAAACCTACAGACGACTACATGTTTTCTTACAGTTTCAGTCACTAAGCACAAGAGACCACTGTAGGTTGCAAGGGCCGAGAAGGCCCACCCCTTATACATTCATTACTATAGTAAACAGTTTCAGTCGTATTGGGTGAAATTTGGCATCTCTTCCTAAGGGAAAGAAATCGATTGCGGGTTATCTAAAACCAAATTCCGATGAGAATATTTAGAACTAGAAGCGGAGAAATAAAAAAGTTTAGGGAAAACAGTGAGGAGCACTATAATTTGTACTCTTAATAAGTTATTATAATTATTATATATTTGTTTGGGGCAGGCGGTAACGTACGAGGCACTATACTACAAGCCATGAAAGCCGTGGGTTCGATTCCTGATGAAGTCACTGGATTTTTCAATTTACCTAATCCTTCCAGCCGCACTATGGCCCTGGGGTAGACTCAGCCTCTAACAGAACTGAGTACCAGGAATCTTCCTGGGGTTTAAGAGGCGGCCATCGCTTGAGACTGACAATTTCACTGCCATCTGTAAGCCGATTGTCTAGCAAATGTGGGAACCTCGACGTCTCACAACCCCGTGAGCTTCCACGGCCTGTCACAGAGATATCTTTAATATTTGTTTGACCAAAGCAAGGAGGATGAGATGAGCGTAGGAAAGATAAGAACTATAGACACAAAACTTTACTCGGGAAACCTGAGAAAGGAGCACTTGGGAACTTATGTTAATACTGGAAGAGAACACTAAATTATTCCGAAAGAAACAGGGTATGAGAATGTAGGGGCCTACTTTATTTATGTGGTGCAGGACAGGACCAGAGGTGGGCTTCTTTTTTGAACATAGAGCGAGGAATTTCTTGACCAGTTTCTCAAGTGGGACTCTGTACCATAGTGACGATTCTTTGGTTACAGAATTGTTGAAGCAAGTGAATTACGTTATTTATGCTCGTATTTGGTTGAGGACAAGCCTGGTTTTCAAATTCCTGCTGCTGTGGTTTCTTACAAATGAACGTATCTTTATTTAAACAAAATCTGTCTTGCAACAATATTCCCGACATACTGATAAGCATGTTCTAATTAAGTAACTTTCTCTTTCCAGTGTTATCTGGCCTGTATGATGGGATTGTCACATTCGGTAAGCTCTTGAAAATTACTACTTCTTATGTGATAATGAGAAAGGTATTTGTCACATGCAGCGCGTGACTGTTAGACGGGGTAAGGTGTGGTAATGGGATTCATTGAAGTAGCCTTTAGTCCGCAAACGAACTATACCGATCGAGCGACCGCCGCTTGTCGGTGAAGTTAGTGCCAACTTTTGAGGACAGAGGGTGTCGCGTGGTCAGCGCGACGGATTCCCACGGCTGTTAATCTCTGTTTTCTAGACCGGAGGACATTACTATTATAGCAAGTTAATAGTGAACGTCACATATTACTGAAGGATTTGACGCTATGACGAGATATTGAAGAATGCAAGTTGGAAACTACATTTCATAGCGTGACGGAACAGCTGAGCCTATATGAGTCATGTCCACAACAGCTGAGATGTATTGATTAAAAAACCACACTTCGTAAATAAGGTCTAAAAGTTTCTGGCGACGGTACATATGGGCCAAATATTATGCTTCTGGACATTATCCGTCGTCTTGTCTTTATCTAAACACCATCCTATATATATTTCGAAACTGGAGTCTGTCTCCGTCTTCAGGTAAAACCTACTCAGTCACTGTCTTAGGAGAGAGGGAGTAGCCGGATCGATTGGGCCCAACTGAGTAGGTTTAACTTGAAGACAGAGACAGAATCCAGTCTCCGAAGCGCTGTGTTTAAAATGAAAACAGGACAATGGATAATGCCCGGAAACATAACATTTGTACCCCCACTTCGTATTCGAAAAATACTGGGTTCCCGTCTCCGTCCAGGAACAGGTTAACGTGACTGAAGTTCGGTCTGGTTATCATTAATTACAAAAATATCTAGATGGCACGTTTTAATAGGCGACAATCACTTCCCTCCTTGTCCTTCCGAATTCATCATTCATATTCACCTTTTTGAAAGGAACTTAAATATTCTAAGTATGCATGGAGGAGAAGAGAAATGCATACTAAATTTTGGTGGGAAAACCTTAATGGAACTCGTCCAATTGTGGGACTATGTATAGAGGGGAGAATAATATTAAAGTGGAACATAAAGGAACGCGTATGATGACACCAACTGGAGTGTCTAGTGACGTAATGATATGAATACGACAGTAAGCTTTCGAGAACGATAAAAGGTCCGGAATCAGTGGTCCAGCAGATCTCATGACCCTTTCTAAAGGAGGTATTAACTTAGTTGGCTCCGAGGGGGAGATAGGACACATGTTTTCACTGATGATAGTTGATTGAGTCATGGCAGAAGCACTGCTCTCCGTGAACACAGCCTAGGAATTATTCACCGATATAATCTGTACTCGAAAATATACATACGTCCTGCAGCCCGCCCACGTGACTTTACTGCTGTCAACATTTCCCTTGCTCATTACTCCGTGATGCGGGCCACCTTTTACTCACGGACCGTTATTTTGAAACGAGGAAAAAGCTGGTCATTTATTTATTGTTTAAATTGCTACCCTTCTCTTTAATGTCTCATGTTTCTTTGCTTATCTTTATGGCAAGTTCTGATGTAGAATATATTAACCGAAATGCTTACAAAGCCGATGTTTAAAATGCCACAATAATTCCTTGTAACTTAACTCAGATTAATAATCTCACGTTAGGATCCCTCCACGCCTTACCGCGCTACTGGAATTTCTTGCTGAATCGGAGTCTATTCTTCCATAAGGCGAAGCCACTGGCTACAGGTATGTAGTGTGAGGTTTAATTAAATATACGTAGAATTTTAACCCAAGGAGTGTGAGCGCAGTATATATGCAGTAGATGAGAAATGCACGCAGAATTTGGAGCGGCAATCTAAAGAGAAGATACCATATGTAGGATACAGGCATAGAGGGGAGAAAGGAGTAACATGCGTCTTCAACAAGTGAAGTGTAATTATGAGGACGGGGTTAATAAGTCTGAGGTTTAGAACCAATGACAGACTCTCATGAACATGAAAATGAACCTTCGTTTTCCATAAAAGAGAATAATTTCTTGCTTAGACAAGCAAGGAAGGCTCTGCCCATTGGAGATAAAAGTACAACTATCACATCCTGCGATACAGCAGAGGATAGTCTAGTGTGCTCGAACAGACAGGACAAGACTCTGAAACAACTGTTAAGTCTACTCTGTGTGTAGGCTACGTAACACTACAGAAATGTTTTAGTAGGATTTTAGGTTTTCGGAAGTGTATAAAGATTTCGAAAGAGCAAACCACTTACTACTACTACTACTACTACTACTACTACTACTGCTACTGCTACTGCTACTGCTACTGCTACTGCTACTGCTGCTGCTGCTGCTGCT